TTCGACCTTTCAATTTTCTTTCTGGCTATTTGGGGTCGCGGCTCTTTGGACTTTAACTTGGTTGAAATAGGCCGGAATGTTCCGAATTGGACCCGAAAGCCGATCACTTGCAGAAAAGCCGTCACAGCGAAGTGTTTGCCTGAGGCTCAGCCATTGACCTTTGAGCTTCAAGGTGTTGAGGCCACGAAATTGCCAGAAGGACACAGAGTGACCTTTGGCCGGAGCACGGAGCATGGCGGAGAGCCGTGTGGCTGGCTTGACGCATTGGACTAAGCCCTTGCTTCTTTAGATCTTCGCTATGGGCAGAGAAGAGTTCAGGAAGGAGACAGGTATACATATTATATATATAGATATACATCGTCCAGGGCTTCATGCCAGTGTTCTTTTTGTGAAGTCGGTTGCCACTTCTGCCATATGTTGAGACAACCAAGGCCTTTTGTGGTTTTGAGCAGCTGTTGGCGTTTGCCTCCAGCTGATGTGCCCAAGGAGTGAAGCGATTGCACAAGCTGTGCCTGTCATTCCAGGTGATTGGGTACCTGAAGGCTCGAATGATGTTTTTCTTTTGCTGTAAAGTCTTTGGTAAAGTCAAGGATGTGTCGTTTCCACCTTCCAAATGGCCGCGTGCGGTTTTTTGTTCACGTGCGGAAAGAGAGGCAGTGCCAGGCAAACTTGGTGCAGTACTACACGCAAGTAGCTGCTGCCCAGCAGGCGAGTGCAATGCACCCGGGGCGATTCGGCCTAGGCCATGATTTTGAAGGAGATCCATTCATTCTAACAGTCCCCCATGTTCCGCCCCATTGATGCAGAAGCTCACCCAGCGGAACATATGCTGTAAAGGCGGGAGGCAATTGAATCCAATGCCAATGGTTCCTTTGGAACAAGTCACATTGTGAAGTATCCCTGCAACACGACATTGATCGGCAACTCGTGGAGCTGGTTGTTTGGTTGTCTCAGGCCAGTCGCGGTAGATTGACCATGTTTGACAGTGCTTCATGCATTGAGTCAGTTGCCAATGTACGATCATGCCCGTGGTAATTAAATGAGCTGTTCCGCCTGTTTGTGGCCAATCCACTCGATCGGAATTGAGTTCAGGTACTGCAGAAAGGCGGTTTACCCGACTCATCCAGAGTCTGCCCCTCTGCCCTTCCGTTCCCAGCAGTTCCGTCTCACCCTTTTGTAGGTCAAGCGTTGATCTGGGAAAAACATCACGGAAAGCGTCGATGTGCTAAGCTGCTAGGCGGCTACGGGCGGCTTAGCGGCGGTGCCCTGGAAAGCAAGTGGACACATATTTGTGGAGCTTGGATATTGCATACGAAAGTCCAAACGAGAGTGTCCTGAATTTCGGGAACCCAAAAAATGGCTAAAGCACGGCCACGATTTGGATGGATGCCCTCAGGACCGAACCCCAGATCACTAGGTGCAGAGCCAAAAGGGAGCGGATCGGAAACGCCGCGTTAGCCCAAAGCCTTCCGGGCCTTCGGCGCTTCTCAATCCCACTGGGGGAGCTGGGATTCCCTTTGCAATTCAGTTTCCCTTTGGGAGGTCTGAAAAGGACTCCCCACCCGAACACCTAGCCATGACTTCCTTATCTGAACTGTATGGTTTCCACCAAAAAACGGTCCCAACGAGTGCCTTTTTCCCATGTCCAAGCATCCACGTACTGTCCCAAAAGCAGCGGTTCGGGGGGTGCTGGTAGGGGCGATTTTCTCCGCTTCGGCGTCCCGTTCGCTTAGGTGATCTCAGGCTATGGCGTTGCCACCCAGGCGCCGTCGCACGAGTCACGCGAGCCACCCTGGTGGAAAGGAGGAAGCTCCGGAAAGAAAACATTTTTCGCGCTTAGAGCAGAGACTCGAGTCATGCTGAGTGCCCTCCCACCAAGTAACATGGAAACTGACAGGGGGGGCCCTTTAAATGGAAAATGTTCCAGGACCCCCCTGTCAGGTTCCATGTTGAATGGTGGGAGAGTAATCTGAACGGTGAATGTGTGCGTGTGTGCTTCGTGGGTTTGCTTCCCGGTGGGACCTGAGACTGCTCCAGACTGAGTAACCTACTTCGGCTTGGAACTGGGAAGCTTTATCCAGGGACGCTTTGGTGTGTATTTGATACATGTGTTCGACATGTTTCTTGTTCCAGGTGTTGCTCGTTGTTGTTGGCGAAAGACTGGGCTTCTCACGCTTTGCATAGTGCAATTTGGGCGTTGGGGAGTCACACACATCAAAGTGCTCAACGTTTCGCCGACGCATCCGTTCCCGTGCTTTGAGATACGGCTTGCAGCAATTATAATAGGTTGGTTGCGACTTGATGTTGGGCACAACCACTGGCCAAGACTTGAATCCTCAAAGCACCCCTTGACCTTGCTTGAATTCCCTGCCAGTCCCTACGTGCCTGACCGCGAACCAAGAGCCAATCCCCATCAGTTCTCCAGTGCCGTTCAGGGGCCGGGAATGCCATCGACTGCCTGGATCACCAATCGCCTCGGCCCAAGCTTCGAAGCGCGGCGTGCGCCGAAGAGAAGGCGGAAAATCACCAGGGGCCGCGTGCTTTCTTGCGCGCCCTTTTCGGGTTGCACGGACAAACTAAAGGGAAACCCCCATTTTAGAGGTTCCCCTTGAAGACAAGCCCACATCGTCATGATGTTCCACAAAGCTACGAAGTTCACAGAAACTGCAAGCTGCAAGGCAGATCGTCGCCAATAGCTTCTCTAAAGCTTCTCCGGTGAAACGTCACTGACAGCGAAGCTCAAAGCGCCTCAGATTTTGCGGCGCTGAGGCCTCATCGAAAGAGAGAAGGCTCGGATAGACAAAAAGTATGACGAGGCGGGGATCCAATCCCAAACTTTCGATTGCGGAGAAAAGTGGGGGCGCTGAAGTTCGAGGACCCCCGTGCAGCCTGGAAGCTGGCGGATGGATTTTTGGACGGGTTTACTTTTGGAGAACCACCGGTCTTTGCCCATTGTAGGAGGCTGGCCATGAAACTGTGTTCTTCAAGGCGGGCCCTTTTTAATTCGACCCGAATTGTTGGTTTGGATGGGTGGCTTGGATTTCAATCTCAACCATTGGTTCTTGCAGAGAGTAAATGGCAGCCCCAATCCAAACCACCAAACCACCGAACAACCAACCACCACCCTTCTCGGGGAAGCTGAAAGTCCACGATTCTTCCACCCAAATCCCGAGAGCAACCAAAAACCACCCAAACCCCGCGCGCAGGCGGACAAGCTCCGTGCCTTGCTGAAGTCCAACGGCGTGGAGGTGGATGACCGGGACCGGAGCTGGCCCGGCACACCAGCAAACGACCAAAACCGGGTGCCGGTTTTGACCCTTTGGTTGTTTTGCTTAAAAATCTTAAGAAATAGAAGGCGATTCCTGGTTTACCTGGTGGTTCAATCATCTTCCAGGGCCGTATCTTTTCCAAAACGGACACCTATGAACCGTCGGCCGTTTGTTCTTCCCGGGCCACTAGACGACGAATGAGGTTGACTGCCGGAACCACCATTTGCCCCACAGATTGCCCAACCCAATTTCAGTTAAACCGGGAAGAATATTGGAACGACGGCCTCAGTGGAAAATGGACCTCACCCAACATGTTTCAACGCTGAGGCACTCATGGGAAAGCCCAACGAGAGGAGTGTTGGGGGATGTTTCGAGTTTGTGTTGTTCCTCTTTGCCTATTTTTGTGGAAAAAGGCGAATCGGAAACGCCCTTTCCAATCTCGTTTGTGCCACATGGCGCCACTTGTTTCCTGACCGCCGGAGCTTTGGGAAGCAACGCTTGAACACGTCTTTCGCCAAGGGCTTCGCTGAGTTGGCCCCCTTTCAACTCAACCAAGAAAGCAACCTGGGTAGGACCCTTCAAGCTGACTGGAGATTGTGTGTGTGCGCGTTTTTTGGGTTGTAATTAGTATTTGCTTTGTTCAGCAGCTCATTGTTGATTTGACTGAGTTTGCTGGGTGCGCAGTCGGCCGACAGCTTTTGGCGGGCATGTGTTGCTAAGCTTTGGGCAGCCAATTGCGTCCGTGGATGGCCAATCACAGAATGCCCGCAATTCAGAAGTTAAGCTGCTGCCAATATTGCAAACTCACAGGGGCCAACCATGATCTTCGCTGGGCCAACCATTCAGAGGCCGTGAGTTTTCTGCGAGACCTCAAAGCGCAGCGCTGGCCAGCCAGAAGAACGGAAGGCCTTACATGCATCTCGAATCGTGGCCCTGCTTTCAAGCACCTTTCAAGACATTCTCAAACTCATTTAGAGAGAAGTACCCTCTCAAGCCGAAACTGGCAAGTCCTGTAAGTTTTTTTTGGGGTAACGGGGGTTCCAATCAAGCTGGGGCTCATGTGACAACCATCCACAGCCGGCAGCGCCGGCGATTGGCTTTTCGGATGTGCCGAGGTCCTGCAAAGATGGGCGCACAGGGCCGAGGCCCAACCACAACGACCCCATGGAGGAAGAAGGTGAGGCCAAGCCACCGTGAAGCGTTTTTTCACGCACGTGAAGGGGTCACCTGCACAGCGCCCATGGCGAAAAACATCAGCCGCTCCAAATCAGAGAAGCGATTGCGTTCAGTTTGGTGAGAAAGCAGAAACTCAGTTGTTCAGTGGCACCCTTTTTTCCCCCTTTTTTTGGTGGCTGCCCACTATAAATGGTCTTCCCCAAAGAGGGTTCCTTTCTTGTTCCAGGGTCACTGAACAACTGAGGAAAATGTCCGAGCCATGAGTTTCAGAAATCCATTGCGTGAGTTGTGATAGTGCATGGGTGCTGCGCACGTAGCTTTGGCGCGGTGTCAGGGTGCATGGTAGCGTTCAGGAAAAGTGCCAGCGCCGTCCTTTGGCAGAGCTTTGTCAGGCTCGCCCTTTCTTTCATTGGAAGCCAGTGAAGTTGGGTCATTAAGGTACCGTGAGTCAGCAGCCATCGGAGACCGCGAGCAATGCAGGCCATTTGGGTATTCAAAGTCAACCACCAGGGATCTGGGCCGAACCCAACCGTCCATGTTTTCATGTGCCGGTCGGGGTTCCCCATTGTTTCGGGGTTCCCATTTCGATTTTTGACCGCCACACCCAAACGGGACGCAGCATCGAGTCGAAGCCATGGCGCTGCCTGCCCTGCTGGCGGGCTTGGACGCTGGGGAGATGGACCAGGCCATTGGAAGTTTTTGGGGCTCGGGGCTTGTAGGCTTATGTGCGGCTTCCGTTGGCGGAAACCAAAAATAATTTTGACCCCAGATTAATATAACCCCGGTTGATTAATAGGGGGGGTGTCCCCTTTTAGTGGGGATTCAGACCACTTTTGGCGGGAACACCCCCCTACTAATGGGACAGGTTTATGAATCCGGGGTCAACATTATGCACTGGAAATCTGAAATGAATGTGATGTTGATGTTCGCTTGTTGGTTTTAACGGGAATGGATTTCAGCACTGAAAATATGTCCCTCCTTGTTTCCAGGGCGAAAAAGTACATGCAAGGATGGCTGTGCATTTGTGAGGGTGCCTCATAAAGGAACCGAACCACAGCAGGTGGTTTGTAGCGGGCATTCCCTCATTCCCTGCTGAGAACCAGCAAGTAAGTTCACTTGGGCCATCTCTTAGTTCCAACATTTTAACGAGTATGCATGAGTGCTCAGGCTACGAGCGATTCCATAGACTTGCTGCATTGTGGGGCATCTCACTGCTTCCCTCACTTTTCGAGCAAAGTGTGTTTCCTCCGCAGGGTTTTGTCCATCCACATCTCATGGGGGATCCAAACAAGCATGTGATTTTCCTGCTAGCTTCCTTACGTGGCAATGGGGGAGATGGACGACGCCCATGAATCAGCCACGTGCAGGCTTTGGAGGCATTGGAGGCGCGATCGAGGCTGCTTGCACGCTGGCTGCAAGGGGAAGGGAAGTGCGGGGAGGGCGGTTGAACAAATGAACAGTTTTGGCGGTTTGGTCATTTTGGGGCTGGGATATTGATCAACCCGCACATGTTTTTGTTCTGCGAAAAGAAAGCTGTTTGGGTCCGTGATGCCAAGAGAATACCTTTTAAAGCTGAGACCGCAAGGGATATGTTCCACAACGTCCGTTCATGTAAGCCTTAGTTTGGATTTGGAGTAAGGGCCCTGGCTTTGGTTGCGCTACACTCCGAAACCACCGGGCACCGGGCTCCGAACCCAATCCGCGGAAGCGGATGTGGGGAGTTGAGCAAAATGAAAAGGCAGCAAGGGTCGCTCAAACGTGAGGGATTCATGCAGGGTCTCCAGGATGTTTTGGGTACCTGGCACTTGGGCACACACAGGCCTTGAGGACCTCAGACACCGGCCTCCGCAACTGCGCAGCCTCTAAGAAGGCTTGAACCCCTGAAAGCGCCATCCGCCCCCCCCCCCAGTGTCAGTGTCCTTCATGGTGGGTCCTTGCGGCAACGCGCGGAGCTTGAAAATTGAGCGCAGGCAGTCAGTGGTTGGGGGGCTGCGTGTTTTTTTTTGCTGTGCCCAAACTGGGCAACTGGATCAGATTTTTGTCAGTGGCGGTGAGGCCAGTCGACAAGGAAGGCGTCCCAAAGCTGGACCCCTTTCAACGGGGTTCACCAGTCATAGCAATCCGCAGGATCCCCCGCCCCCATTTTGGAACTTCCCACTTCGAAGATGTGGCCAAGAAAAATCCAGACGGAACTTGGGAGTTGCTCACCGGAGCCTCGTTTGCGAGGGCAAACCGGCCGAGTACCAATTCTTGGTTGTTTTTGCCGGGCAGCAAGTTAAGTTCCTGCCCTTGGCCAGCACCATGCCCGCGCACATCCACCAAATCCGATAGTTGCCAGCTCGTAAAGCATGACATCACGCCCCTCAACATCCGTTTGGAAAAGAAGCCGCGGCAACTGGCCCAAAAAGAACACTCGACCAATGAACGCCTCCGGGTGTTGGCCACCTTTTCGGCGACCCGTTTTTGGATCCCCACGGGAGCCTCCCAGCGACTTGGGGCCTGAGGCTTGGAAGAAGCTTCCGGAGAAGCCGCTGGCCGGAGATGGGACATGAACCACCCTACGGAAGTTCAACGGGGGGTTCCCCAAAAGCGGGGCCAAAAGCGGGGGTTCCTCAACAAACAGCCTGAGTGTCCAGGTCTGCAGAGAAGGAGTCCAAGCGAAAAAGCAAAAGCCAATCCCAAAACCAACAAAATGTGCAGCAGGAAATGGGTCTTGTTTGGGTTTTATGCTACTTTGCAGGAGGGTATAGGGCTAAAGAATTGCTACCCTCTGGCCCACGAACATAGGACAGTTTACCCCTCCAATCACTAAGTATGTTTCTACAGTCCCCGGCCCCATTCTAAATAGTCATTGACCTGAAGATGCGAAGAGACGCTCAAGGTCGAGCAGCCATCAGGTGCCTTTCGCTCCGGCAAGAGACATGTCATCCGACAGGCCCTCAGGTTTGACAAGCTAATTCAAGACATTGTGAGCCATGGGTACGTGCCAAAATGGGGGGGGGGCTGTAAAGGGCCCCAAACATAGGTGTCCTGTTTGGTTGTTTGTATTTGAAAAATAGAGGGTGATTCCTGGTTTACCTGGTTCAATCAACTACCAGGGCCATCTATTGCCAACCGAACGAGATCCTGCACCAAATTGAAATCATGGGAAACCATTGTTTGTTCGTATTTACAGGGGAATCATCCTTCCAGGGTTCTTTAGGTGGTGCAGGATTTTGTCCATCCATAGAAAAGGACACCTATGGCCCCGAAGAAGTTGCAGAATTCCGAGGCTTGTGCTGCTGCGCCATGGGCAGAGCGAGGGCAATGTGGACCACATGCTCTACACCTTCAAAGGGGACAGCCGGATAGAGCTCACCAAGGAAGGCATCAGCCAGGCTGCTGGCGTCTAGGGGCACGTGCACTGGCAGCTCACAAAGCATATATCACATACAAGATGGGCAAATATATAGATGTATAGTCATGCCTGCATATATAGTTAAACACCTCTATATACATACCTGGGTATGTCTCTACTACATGCAATCTATGATTTATTATAAAGCAAACATATATATATATAATGTTTATGCACATATTGATTTATTCACGATTGCTAGAGGGTTCTCGGGGGGGGGGGGGGGGCGTGCGTATCACTAGTGGACAGGTTCTGTCACATCAGGTTCCTCAGGCTTCGGACCCGGCGTCCTGCCAGCGCTTTGAGCCGTGCTCACTGCTTCGATCCGGTTTCAGTCCTTCTGATATTGTTACAAGTACTTAAAGGCTTGAGGGTCAGAAATACACCTGAAACTACCTTTTAAGAAGTCTCCTTGGGTCTGGCCATCTTGGCAGGGCGATCTGAAGCCAGCACCAGCTGATCGGCAAAAGCGCGCAGGCCAAAGTCGCCGGCCAGCGGTTGGCCCAGATCACCCCGCCGGATGCCAACGTCATCGTGTGCATCTCGCCCTTCGAAAGGAGACGGCGGCCACTTCGTGCCGATTCGTGGCTCAGTGAACCTTTCGAGGGGTCCAACAAACCTCCACACTCCCTCAACGAACGTGGAAGCTCCCCCAATTGGCCTCTGTAAATGGAACCAAGTCTTGCAATGGGGTACTGGGAGCTTCCATGTTAGTCTGGGGGAGGGTATTGCTTTCTCAGCGGAGGCCCCTGCCTTCTTGATACAATTTGCGGTTCAAAGAGCAAGCCTTGCCAGGATCGCAGGGGTGTCCAACTCGGGCTGGAACTCAAGTCTTTTGGAGGTGCCCCTCTCACATGGGTGCAAATTTACTTGTTGCAGCTCACCACCTGCTGTAGATACCACCTCTCCAGGTTTTCCCAATCTTTGGACCCAGGTGAGTTGGACCCCGGAAGCCGGTTCCCCGCGTTTGTCGACCAGCGCAAATGAGCGCTTTCCAATTTGGTTGCTTGACGGGCAGACTCTTCGTGGCTCGGCTGCTCCCTGGATTCTAAACTTGTGTCCTTTGGCGAGTCACTGGCCAACCTCAGGGTTCTCTTTTCTTGGTGGCTCCCAGCCATCCGGTTCCTTGGCTTTTTAGTTTTTTAGCTTTTTAGTGTTTCGTGGTAGTTTCCATTTAACCCACTGAAAGCTAGTCACTTTTAGCAGGGGATCTGGTTTTCCTACCATCGCTGAACAGCTCCAATCAGCCCAATGTCTTGAGCCCATGCCCAGGAAAATTATTGACATTGTCAACACACTTAGTATGGTGGCTACGTGTCCGAAAACAGAAGACCGACAACAATACAAAGTGCCCACCTTCCCCTCCAGCTGGCGAAAAATGGCTCGAATGCTGGGAACGTGGTGGAAAATATATCTGCATTCCCCTTGTGATACAGTAGTCATTGGCCCCTTTCGGTACTACCGCAACAGCCCCATTTTTCCCCCGCAACGGGAAGGTGCTTCTCCAAGGCTGTGTCCCGGTGTTTCACCGGGGGGCCTGGGACTGGGAAAGAACCAACCCTCCCAGCAAACATGAAACCTGGCAGGGCGTCGCCATCAGGGACAATGGTCTTGGGCCCGTGTCAGGTTCCACGTGTGGCAGTGTATCAAATCAGGCGAAGGCTGACGTGTCACACGCCGGTACCATCGCCAAAACAAAACACCAACTCACTGTGCCACGCTGCACGCCTCAAGCCTTCGGAGTCGATCTGCCTTAAAGCGGCTCGGCCAGGACCACGCAGACGCTCTTGGCGTTGTACAGCGGTGGCTTTGACCAGGCGACGGCCGCGGCTTCTGAGCCATCTCCGTTGGAAAAAACCACTCCAAGAATGTTCATATCGAATCCTGTTAGCATAGGTGTTCTTTTGGTGGGTTTGGTGCAAGAATAGAGGGCGATTCCTGGTTTACCTGGTGGTTTAAGCATCTACCAGGGCCATCTATTTACCCTAAAAGGACACCTATGCCTGTTAGTCTTCCCAATTTGGCGTCCATGTTTAGCCAAGGTTGCAAAAGCTGGTCATCTTTTATTTTCGGGTCCAAACTGGGCAACTGAGCCACCCCGATCTCTGTTCACAGCTGCGAACTTTGTGCATTCCGTGCGCCTCGCCTTTGTGCAAACCATGTGCTCAAGAGCAATGGATGTCACGGCGCTTCTCACCCCAGAGCAATCCTTTGGCCACGAAGGCTGTTGAGGTAAGGCATAGCCAACAAACTGGCCTTGTGCTCTGGCCGGAGGGTCTTCACAAACATGAACTCGTATATGTCACATATCCATCCAATGTCGGTTTCTTTTGAGTTCAGTTCTTGTTTTATGCATTTTCACACCCACTGCTTCTGCCCACAGGATGCACGGCAAGAAGCAGCAACGATTGATGGCTTCGTCTCAAACCGGGGCCCCACGTTTTGGTGGGGTTCCCTGCGGCCTCCCGGGAAAACCACTCCAAAAAAGAATATCCGCAACAAAAAAGAAGCTGTCAGACAAAGTAGGGCAGCAACACCTTGGTCAGTGCTTCAAAGCACAGTGCTAATTGCTCCTCTGCAATTGGCAGCTATGTACTCACATGGCTTCAGCACCTATCAAAATGCGCCGGTGCCCTCAACAGCCTGAAGGCCCTTCCTAGCAGCCCCGGAACAACTTGTTTCTTTCTGGTTGTTGTGTTCCACCCTGGGATTACACCCTTGGGAAATGACCCAGGATGGTGCAAAATAACACGGTTTTATCCGGAAATGTGCCTAAAGGTCAATACCCAGCGGGTGTATTCCCAGGGTAATACAAAAACCCTTAGATTGTTGAAGCCTCTCCGACAGCGTTATGTCAAGACCGTCCATTGTAAACTGTTCGCTTGAGCTTTTGGTCTTCCACTTGCTCCAAACGCGCCACACCCCATCCCCGAAGACTACAAGAGCAAATGGAAAAGTGGACGTGTGAATCCTGATGCGGTAGGTAAGTTCTCTTTGGATCAGATTTGCTTCGCCAGTCCTTGGTCTCCAAAGTGCACGTGGACCCACAGATCCGGGAGCAGGAGTTTGGCAACTTCCAAGACCCCGGGCTTACGCAGAAGGCGCGTGAACTGGGGACAGTTACCTGTGGCCAAAACGGAGTCGGTGCAGCCCAATGCCCTGATTTCTTCAGCATGCTTCCGGTCGGCCTCTTCATGCTCGCGCCAAGTGTTCATTACTCTTGCTGACCACAGGGTATGCATGGTTGTGGGAAACGATTGGCGCCGAAATGGAAGATTCCCATCCCTATACATGCTTTGCCACTTTCTTAGGGGGGTTCCTTGATGGCCCTCTCTTCTATTTGCGCGAGGGTCCCTGCCTTTGTGGTATGACCAGATCCCCTCAGAGGCGTCAAGGGCTCTATCAGCTGTCAGCTCCTTTTCTCGCCGAAGCGAAGGTCAGAGCAGAGGAGGGCAGAGTTGGGCGCTTCTACTACAGGCCAGGAGTTTCAGCGGTTGACTCAAGGGCAATCCATGTTTTGAGGGTGCTACTGAACTGTACTCTGATTTTTTTGCTGAGAGTGTCACTACGACCGTTGGCATGGCTCATGACCAGAGCATCCAAAGTTGCTTTGAGTGTTCTACCTCCCGGCAAATGAGAAACCAGAGAGGAAACGATTGACAGAGCATTGGTGTTCACACAAAATGATGCGTGCATTGGTTTGTCCCTGAGCGTGGAGACTTATGTTGGGCGCCAGCCAAACATCATCAGCATGATCAGCATGTTTGCGACTCGCGCAAGCGCAGGCGGCCAAATGCCGAGAGCTCTGCGGATGTTTTTGACCGGGTGACACAGTTCTTCGACAAGCTCTTTGGCCCCATTGGGGATGACGGAGGCATCGGAATACTTACCCGTGCCAAATCGAAATACGATATGTGCCTCATAGTGACCCACGGCCTGACCATCAGGCTTATGCTCATGTGCCTGTTCCAATGGTCGGTGGAGACCTTCGGAACTGTTTGGAATCTGGGAAACTGTGAGCATGTGTGCCTCAAGAAGAACATGGAGACGTTCACTTACGAGCAACTTGGCTAAGCATGGATTACCGCTGCGTCTTGACCACATCGGTCATCGGTTGAAATATATTGGAGCACGGCCTTGAACAAATCTGATATGTATGCCTATAGATGCAGATTTCTCTGTTCATTTTATTTACTCTCTTTTTGTTTCAGAGTACAGGGGCTGAAGCTTTCGCAATTTGAGTTTCGCGTGACGCACATTTGCATCAGGATTTGTCCAGAGGAATCCTTCCCCCAGCGCGTGCCCTGGGCTTCCCGCGAGATCTTCTTGGTGCTGAGGGAGAACTTGGCACCCCAGGACGGCCATCGACTTATTTGCTGCTACCCTGACTTCACTGTTCTTGGCATGCTTTTTAGTTTTTTAGTTTTTGGGTTCTGTTCATTTTTACTGGGGGTCTGCAAAAAACAAAGTTTTTTGCTACCATACCAAGAGTAGAGATGCTGAAAACGCGGGGGGGGGTGTAAAGCTCACTCCCTGAGTTCGTGGCCTTTAGTCACCATTTTGGTGAGAAAGTTTCGGCGTGTGTTGGCCAATCAAATCAGGAGTGAGAGAGGGAAACAAACAGGAACCCCCCCCCCGCTTTGGGAGTTCCGCGTGTTTTGAGACAACCCCGTAAATAGGGCGAACATTGTTGGGAAGCCAGAAGGAGGTTCTGGCATGTGCTGGCCTTTTGCTGATTTTCCGCAAGCCCTGCTCGCGAGATAGGAGCAGGTTTGAACAGAACCAGTTCATGCCACTAAAAGGCGCACGCACGCGCGCTCGCGCGCGTGCTTGAATTTTCTCGGGGCAGCTCGCTTATAGCCATCACAAAAGCTTCTGAGTTGGTTGCATATCCTGCGGGCTCCACTCTGAACGGCGAGGACTTGATCGAGCGCCTGGAAAGACTCATGGACACGCGGCGGCACCTGGCAGATGGCTCAGCTGGATGCAGGGAGGAGCTGGCAAAGCTCGATAAGATCATTGACGGTTTGGCGCTTTGGAGCTGAGTGGGGGCGGGGGGGGGGGGGCCATTGGTTTCTCACTTGCCCAAAGCGCACCGACCTTTTGACCTTTGGGTTTTCGGATATGAATTCACTTTTAGGTTCACCTTGTATTTCTGGGTCCCTTGGCCAACTTGGGGAACTGAGGTTTCGATCATCATGTGTGTGGGCTGAAACCAAAAGGTAAAACGGAGGTCCGAAAACAAGCAGGGTCTCCTATAGGCATTGATTGGCGTTGGCCTGTGCAACATGCCCCTAGTGGATTTTCTTACCGACTGTTTTTGTTGTGCCCATGTCAATTTGCAGGAGTTGCTGTTTGTTGCGATTCTAGGTTGCCACTTTGGGCGATACGTTTGGGTAAGACCCTTTACAGTGATAAATGGTCGGTATTGCAGAATGGACAGGGTAATTAGTTTCGTTGCGCAGGCCCTCCAGTTCTCAACATGTTGGCACCAGGCGTTTCGCCGCATGAGGCGTTCACCTCGCTTCCTTCTCAAACCCAAAAGGTACCTCACTCCCTGAGGTCCGCTTCGAACTTGAGTGACCGGCTGCGCTTGAACCATTTTAGTCTTCTCTTTTTTTTGGGGCCGATCACACAGAAGCGCCGGAGACTGAGGAGAATCAAATGCTTCGTGCGCGATCCTTGCCGTACACAGTGATCAACTACTTGGAAATCTCCCAGCCTCGGACCATGCAAACTATTGAGGCAGGTGCTGGAAAGCTCGTTAAGATGTTCATGATGTGCATATGGGTTTACATGGACAACCCGGATTAGTAAACCCCAGTTTATTCAACTGGGTTTGTCTCTGGTTTGGGGTTCATCACGGAGGGCAAGACCTCCTGTTAATAGGACGGATTCTACTTGGATACGGGGTCAACATTTATGTTGCGAGTTTCTGTGATACCAACGATCAGGTGGCCCTAAATTAGTGGTTTGGATTGGTGGGCAAATGGGAAACCACACCCTTAAAACCATCGCCAAACCGCCGGGAAGGAAGCCGGAAGGAAGCCCCTTGTGTGACAAAGAAGTCGGTGGGGGAGGGGGTCCCTAAAGAACCCTAACCCTAGGGCTCTCCACTACCCACCCCCTTGTACCTACCCTCCTTGGGCATTCCATAAACCAAGGAAGCCCCGCTAGTGACACAGAAGACTGTGATGGCCCGGCTTGGTATCACAAGTTGGCTGTGTCATACCCCACCTGCTTCTTGATGACGCAGCGCCTTTTGACGTGAGAATCCGAAGCGGACCCCGCAAAATGGCTTCCGTTGTCCTTTTGGCCTCGATTTAAGCCAAGACAAGGGTACCCTCCAAAAACACAGTCAAATGCATCATGGGAGCACAGACTGGTCACGTTTCTCCTCATGGGAAGTAGAACTTCAGTAGCGAAAGAGTAAATATGGTTCTGTTTCTCTTCAGTGACCGGCTACTGAGAACCCAAGACTAAATCCCCCGGTTGATTCATAGCCAACGTAGCCAGCTGCCCCTTGTGTTGAGCAGATTGTTTCAAGACAGGGTTGAGCAGCCAGCGTTTGATGAGTTGCCGTTTGTCAGATGCCGATGCCTACGACCCTGTAGCTGAACATGTGAAGATTGTAGTTCCTGGAGGAAAGTCTAAGAAACGCCAGCAGCATACTCGTAAGGAATTCTGAAGTCCAGACCTTTCTCGTATCCGGATTCTCCCTCACTTCACCCAGTGCTGTGGGCCCAGCACAGCAGGTATGCTCGGCTATTGGAACCCAGGATGAACAAGCCTCCCTGGCGGATAAGTCGGGGGTGTTCCATTTAAGAAGACGTTCACTCTTGAGTGATTTGGCTGAAATGAAGATCTGATTTGATTTTCCCTTGTTGATTTTGAAGGGAATCTATCAGTTGAAAAGCTGGTCAGGTTCTTGGGCACCTCGTTCCTGGACACGGGCACCAAAAGAAGACCCCAGAGGACGAGTGGTTGCTATGGAGAGAGCACGTGCCCATGGGTCCCCCATGACGCCGCCTCCCCTAGTGTCTATCCGGGGGAGCGACTCAGCTGGCCAAACCTTGTGACACCTTTGTTTCTCAAATTTGTTTCAGTTTTGCCCGGTTTTCCTTTTCTTTGGGAGAGGCGGTACCCGTTAAAGTCACAGGTTTCTCGTTGTTTGGGGCTTCCATGAGGAGGTTATTGCTAGCCAGGAGCTGGAAGCGATGCGTGACGCTCCAGAACGGCAACAAGTGGAGTTCATCGACTGGTGGGGGGACCAGCTCAGCAACTTGGAAAGCTCAGCTTGAAGGGGGGGTTGCTGCTGGCCAAGAGAAAGCTGCAACGACTCCAATGACTTGAATGGTGACCCCTGAATAGTGAAGGTGATCCAGAGAGAACAAGTTGCAGGGGGCGATGAATGTCAGTTTTGCAGCGAACTCGGCTCAACAGGCCCCCCGAAACTTTAGACACACACCAGTACACACGCACGCGCACGCTCGCGCAAACAGGGCAGAGGCGCGCGCCAGTACATGCATGTGGGGCCAAAGAACCATGGGCTGCGTGGAAGTCGGTCCATGGCTCCTCGGGGCCAGGCTCACTTCAACAGGAGGGCGTGTTGTGTTTGAGTTGGTACCGTGGTTCTCTCATGTTTAAAGTGAAACCAAGGGGGGAAAAAATGTTGGGGTCCCTAAAAGACACACCCAGGAAGGTCCCCACGATCCATTTCATTGCATTACTCCCCATTGGTGAGCAGGGAGCGCGTGTAAGCTGAAGCGTTGTTAGAAAACCAAGAATCATAACCAACACACGAGGGAAACCCGTCCGAAACCACCAAACCACTGGGCTCCGGAGAGTTTTGGAAGACTACTATCCTTTTTGAGAAGCCCCCTGATCCACTTCCATGCTTGTTGGAAAGAGGACAGAGGGGCCACACGGTCGGATTGCTGCAGGCTACCAGGGCAAGATGCTACGGACCAACCGAATCACTCGGGGCGTCTCTGGCAGACTGACGGAGAAGGTAGAGTTAGATCTGGGAGAGGCTGCATAGGGGGACATAGGGCAGTGCTGCAGTGCAGTACGGCAGTGCACTGAATGCAGCACAGTGCCTTGTCCGCAGTTGACCCTTGGCAAAATAATGTTTAGCCTTAAACACACACTGACATGGGGACTCACAGCACATGTGTCTCTAAAGGAGCCCTGCACTAGATTGCAAGAATACTTTTTAATTTGCTTGGTGCTGGGGTTGCCGCGGCCTCGTCGTTGCATGTCGCTTCCAGACAAATCTTCTCGCTGGGACGCTTGTTCCAAAGTTGGACGGCCCGGCCACGTTGGATTCACATGTCTCAGTTGCCTAGAGCAGACCTTTTGAGGTGGTTTCCCCCTTGCTTGCTCCATATCTCGCCAATTTTTTTCTAAAGGGTGATGTAAATTCCGGGTCGTTTGGGCAACTGAGATGTACGTGGCCGGATTTCTCCGGATCAGATGGGAGGAGCACTCCTGTGAACTTTCGCCTTGGGGAGCAACCAGTTGACTCCCGGGGACACGTTGCCTCGAAGCGTGCTTGCAGCGAAAAAGAAGATGCGAAGCACCCAAGCTGGGTGTGCTTTCGTAAGTGGAAATGGACACGTTGATGGACGAAAAAGCGGGGGGGGGGGGGGGGAATAGGGACTCGTGGCCACCAATATGCAAACAGATTTGAAGTTTCAACAGGGAAAGGTGGCCAAAGTTTCGGATCCTTCAGGGTTGTTGGCACGGGTTTGTGGCATACCGAAGCGCGACACTTGGCGAGTGTAGTGCTCATTAAGGCAGCGCTTCGGTTGGTGAGTTCCCGGCCTTTGCACAGCCCAGGGGCCCACATTCGGATCGTGCCCGCATGCGGATCGAGTTGAGCGCCGTGGCTCCAGTCTGGCCCAAAGATCGAAATCAGAACAATTTGGTTTTGGCCCAAAGGATGAAATCAGAACAATGGGAGGGCAGCCGACGTTTGGGACCTGGGGAAATGCGCGGCCCGAAGCTGGCCATCGATGCTCCAGGAACCGGGAGAGCTTCACAAGGTCGTTTTCCCAACCGAGCAAGCGCCTTCCTGGCGGAGCCCTTTCCAGACCACGACCTTGACGCAATAAACAGAAAACAGCAGCAATGGTTTGACTCTTGTGGAACCAAACGACAAAGCAACTTGAGACGTTGCCGGTATCTTCGGTATCTAAGATGATGATAGAAAATAGTCAAATTCAAGTTCACCAAGTTCACCGTTGGTTGGAGGTGAGAGTTAATTGACGTTTTGAGGCTGAAGGTTGGCCACATTCCTTTGGGCCGCCCTTTTTGGGTCCGCACCCATCTGCCCGACTTTATACCGAGCTCACCGATCCGGGGGGAAAAAGAGCAAAAGCCACGAGAAAGCTCCTTTCCTTGGGCATCCAACCCTTCATTCAGCTTTTGGACACGCCAAAGCTCCCAGATCCATCCGCCCCATCCCAGCTTCGAAGCCTTCGGCCTGGCTCGCTCGCGAGCAAGCGGAAGCGGAGGCGGAGGCGCGGAAGCCGATGCCATGGCCCATGCGGCGGACTGCGCGGCCAACGCCCACCGGCAGCGGCCCCCGCCCCCGCTGCCGCTGCCGCCGCAGCTCACGGTGGCCCAGCTGCCGCAGCTGCTGAGACCCACAGGCGCTCGAGACAAAAGACTCGACGGTCCCGGAACTAAGACGGCTGTGGTGGTCAAAACCGTTGTGGGATCCCATTTTGGTTGGGATAGGTGATTTCACCACCCATATTAGGCTTCCTATTTTAGTGGGGATTGAATCGGATGTTCACTGGGGGTACGATTTGGATTTTGACCCATGGCCATATGGCAGCTCCCAGGACCTTGGAAAACTTGGTGCCATGAGGCCAATTGGGGGAGCTTCAGGGAGTCGACTCGGCCGATTTTTGTGGCGACATGGTCCGTGGCAGGAACGATGTTTTCCCCCTGCAAGCTGTCGGGGGACGATGGGCTCAGACATCGGCGACAAGGGGTGAATAGTTGGCAGCTTTCAGGGAGGTGTCTGGAAGGGTTCCGGGGCTGGGGATTTCAAGAACATGAGCTCCTGGGACCATGGGCCAAACAGCGAGTCTTCCTTTTGGTATGGTGATGCTAAAGGAATGTTGAAGCCTGTGCATTCTGGGCCCATATGAAGGCCATGGTCCAAATTATGGTGAAGTTAACGTATGGGACTGGAAAGTTTCCACTGTGAGCGTTGGCTTGAAGGGTTTGCGCCTGGTGCGGCTGGTGAGATCAAGGCACTCCGGAATGCTTCCAGTGAACGGGGGGGAGTCGATTCGCTTTGCTCGATTCGCGCGTTTCTGTGACACGAAACTGCACTTTCTATATTTCACCAACCTCGGATTCGACCATAGGTGACATTTGTTATGCGACTTCGCTCTTTAATGCTGTTTGCGAAGCACTTCCTCACAAGTCCACCCAATTGCTTTGCACGGGGCAGGTTGCTGAAGAGGCTCCCCGTCTTGTTGTTTGCGTATCCTCTTTGCCTTGCCCATGTTCAGTCATCCCCACCGCCCCTTCCGCTCGCTCGGTCCGGGTGTGGGAACTTCCATCCGAGGCAAACGCTTCCAGGCAGCGCCAGGCAAATCGGTTGGGAAAGGGGGGGGGAATGGGGGGAAACCGGCACCGATCCTCGCCTCGCAGATGGGGACTAGATGTTGAAGAAAAAGAATTGGACCAAGCCCTGGACCATGAAAGCACCAAACCTTTCTCAAGGCGTCGGGTTCGGTTGCAAACTTGAGTTGCAAAATACATGAGTTTGGGTTTCCTCATAGAATGCCCCCTGAATTTGGCATAAGCTCGCAAGATACCGCCCTTTGCATGGACCTGGGCACCGACTTTGAGCAACGTTGAAATACGGCCCCATGCCCTTGGCAATCGCTGGCCAGGTTAGGCATAGGCCTGGCCACATAAATATTCGCTGGGTGGGATCGGTTCGGCCAGTTAGCCTTGCTTAGGTGAGTTGCCAATATAGCACATGATGTCCGGAGCCCTTGTTCTTGGCCTTGTCACTCTTCCGAGATCTCTGAGTGGATGAACCTGCTGGCTCGTAGCTCAAGGGAAACCACCTGCCATGACGGGTCCCAATCTACATGCCCCATAGCTTAGTGCCGAACGGCTTGAAGGGAATATCTTGACGGGTTCGGGCTCCCCTTTTCTTGACCACCCCCCCCCCCAACATTTGTTTGACCCCCCTCCCTTGTTCAAAAACCCCCCGATGAAGCGTAGCAACCCCCATCTTTATAAGGGTTCCATCAGCGCAGTGCCTGGCCGAGGCCCGCCGGAAGCCCCCGAACTTCAGGACACTCAGCTGGAGGCGTACGCAAAATGTACTCCTTGCCCCAGTCCGAGTTTGTGTCAACGCCGGATCTAAGTAGAACCCTTAGTAGATGAGGACCGGGGCGAGCTTCTTTTTTTTTAGAGTCCGGACCGCTTTTGGAAGGGGCTTCCCCCGCCCCTAGTTTGCGGGGTTCTACCTTCCGGGGTCAACACAATTGCATTACAGCGTAAGTGTTGACTGAATCTGAGCACTCACAATGCATGACTGCCGCGTTTTGTGAGCCAATCCAAACCAGCCAGCTTAGGGGCCAGCAAATAGGAATAATTCAGAGCCAGCCTGACTTCCTGACTTCCGTTTCAGGCTGTAGTCACTTGAACTATGAAGTTGCACCTGAGCCCGTGGTGAGTCTTTCGCAAGGTTGGACCCCTCAAGATGGCTGGAAAGTGTCAAAAGCAGATACACCTAGCCCATGTAAGTAAGATACCCCTGCTGTTTCTTTCTACCCCATTCAGGCACGAAGCCTTTCGGCGTCAATTATCGGCTGCTTAGCTTCACAAGCTGCCAGGGCTCCCACGATTTGGTCGCGGCATCGGAGCCGGAGAATGGGCCTGCAAAGCCGGACCCAGAGAGAAGCTCGGCTGGAGACACGGAAATGCCTTTGTGTCAGGTCGGGCTGGGGCCTTTCAAGCTCAAGCTCTTCACTTTGGAGTTTGCATTCTCAGATCTGGAGCGTACGTCAACAGCAGAAGCTGATGCTACCTTGCAAGACTTGTTGAAGTTGCGAAGGCGTTGACGCAACTCGTAGGATGATGCAGCGCTTTCGAGTGTCGAAGTGGCAGTGAGGTGAGGGCCGAGCTGAGCACGAGCCAGATTCCGACAGCGCAAGAGCACGTGCCTCGACTGCATATACAACATTTGATGTTCAAAGTAATATCCGGTGCCTCCGATCAAGTCGTCCCTTGGCAAGTGAGTGCCCCCAACATTCCCAAGAGAACGAACGGCGCGCAAAAGTTGCCGTTCGCATGTATGTTAAACTCTTGACGCACCGAAATCACCGGGGGGAAAAGGCCGGTAGCCGGTAGCAGTGTTGAACTTGCAGGCACGCAGCGGGCTGTTGACATCGAGGCCGATGGGGTGGGAGCTCGGAGGAATAACAAATACAATACTATATTGGTGAAGATTGGTAAGGAATAAGTATTATGTTGTTTGCTTTTATATGGTTTTTATTGTTTACCATCATCTCCTTTTCCTTTGTTGAGATTAGTTAAGAGAAAGGAGATGGTAAGAAGTTAATAGTATAAAGATAAACGCGCTTGTGTTGCACTTTGAAGCTTTGAAGAAACTTGACACACGGTCACTTGCCCGCCCTCTGCACTTCAAGGCACCCCCATGGCGACGGGTGATCGCTCCAACCTTTAAGCTGAATTGGCAGCCTCGCTGCCAGGGCTCCCACGATTTGGTCGCGGCATCGGAGCCGGAGAATGGGCCTGCAAAGCCGGACCCAGAGAGAAGCTCGGCTGGAGACACGGAAATGCCTTTGTGTCAGGTCGGGCTGGGGCCTTTCAAGCTCAAGCTCTTCACTTTGGAGTTTGCATTCTCAGATCTGGAGCGTACGTCAACAGCAGAAGCTGATGCTACCTTGCAAGACTTGTTGAAGTTGCGAAGGCGTTGACGCAACTCGTAGGATGATGCAGCGCTTTCGAGTGTCGAAGTGGCAGTGAGGTGAGGGCCGAGCTGAGCACGAGCCAGATTCCGACAGCGCAAGAGCACGTGCCTCAACTGCATATACAACATTTGATGTTCAAAGTAATATCCGGTGGCTCCGTTCAAGTCGTCCCTGGGCAAGTGAGGAATCTATCAAAAAGGTTGCCCCCAAGATTCCCAAGAGAACGAACGGCGCGCAAAAGTTGCCGTTCGCCTGTATGTTAAACTCTTGACGCACCGAAATCACCGGGGGGAAAAGGCCGGTAGCAGTGTTCAGATTGCAGGCACGCAGCGGGCTGTTGACATCGAGGCCGATGGGGTGGGAGCTCGGCAGTGAACGCTTCGGTTGCACGGTCACTTGCCCGCCCTCTGCACTTAAAGCCACTCCCATTGCGACGGGTTTATCCCTCCAACCTTCAAGCTGAATTGGTGGCCTCGCTGCCAGGGCGCCCACGATTTGGTCGAGGCACCGGAGTCGGAGAATGGGCCTGCAAAGCCGGACCCAGAGAGAATCTTGGCTGAGACGGTTGTGCAGCGCCTGGCTGTTGTAGAAGGAGTTGTGTTTCCGATCGAAGGATAGGAGCACGGAAGGGGAGAAGAGGTTTTAGTATGTTTTCAAATGACTGGGCAGCCACATGCAAGCGGGCTGTTCCGGTTTTCACGTGCGCCTCTTGCAGGGCAATGTTTGACATGGTATGACCCTGTCATCAGGTTGTTCCGGATTTCTGGTTGATTGGATGGCCACGCTGACCTTTAGCTTTTCCTTTGGTTCTAATTTGCGTCCCAACAGCTGATCACCTTTTGCTGGGTAACTGGGCAACTGAGAGATTCTGATGTCAGAGGCCCACAGCCCGGGGCGCGGGGTGTCCCACGTGTTCAATGAAACTGGTGTTCAAAAGTGGGTGGATATGTCCACCAAAGGCTTCCCCAATAGAAGTTCTGCCTACATAGTTCTTGCCGGCCTGGCGGTTGGCTGGTTTGGCCGGCCCTGCTGGCCAAGAGAGTGGTGCAGGGGAAATAGGTTTTCTCCTCGCTGCTTGGTGCGCTAAAACTGGTTAATCCGAAGAAGGGCTCCCTTGCTCCACCAGAAATTGCTGTGCAATTCGTCAGACACGCCCGAGGAGTGGTGGGTGAGGAGGTGGCGAGTGAGGCACCTCGGAGAAAGCAACAGACCCCAGTGCCAGTGCAGGGGCACAATTATCTCACTGTAGAAAATCCTTAAACTCGCCAAAAAAAAGAAGAAGTGCCATGGGATGTTTGGCTAAGGCCTCAAAACCGGACCTTTGGGACCCCTTTGGGTTGGTTTCTTCCATTTGGTTCCGAGAAGGTGATCGATCGCCTGGGTTTTTCCCAAGGGGCAGGGCTCCGGCCTCACTGCGCCGGACCCGGAGAGCATCTTGGCCGAAGGGCTTCGACAGCCGCCAGGCACTGGGCGTTTTCTCTGTTTTGAGGGGCAAGCCCGTGGTGAGTTTTGAGCTGGAAGCTGAGGGTGTTTCGGTGTTTGTTTGTTTTCTTGGGTTTGGTTTTGTGAGGGCGGCCTGTGTGGGTTGTTTGAAGGGGAAAACCGGGAGGAAGCCAGCTGTTGTCCTCGGATTCGATTCCCCGAATTGGAGCGGCACGCATCTGGGCCTAAAGCAAGTGGTGTGCGCGTCGAGGTGGGCGGACATCCCCGGTGTTGGCGGTAAAAGGACCCGCCTGCATCGCTTGGGCGGGCGGATCATACTGGGGCCTTTGAAACGTGGGTGGGGTTGCGCCGCTGAGATGGCTCGGGATAGTGGGACGCTCCAACTTCCTTGCCAAATCCGTCTTTCAGATACCCTCCCAAGAATCAGGGAAGTGGAATTCTGGGCCTTCCCGGAAAAGGAAGTAGTAGTCTTCCGTTAAAACCCTCCTGTCAGCTTCCATCAGAGGGTACAAAGTTGAAGTTGGAGCTTCGACTCTTCCAGGCGATCAGACCGACGACTTGCACGGTGCGGGCCTCAGTCTCGCCTATCCTCAAAGGCTGGCCTCAAAGAGGTTTCACTTGATGGCACGAAAGTAGGGGGCGGCACTGATGCCAAAGGCTTTAAGGCAGGCTGGGGCATGCTGAAAGGCGGGCGCTTCTTTCTGTCCTTTCATGTTGTTTCCCGTAGGCTCGGCCATGTCCTTTTCCCTTGGTTGGAGCAGTCTCAAAGAAAGAGCCAGCAGGGTGATCAACTTTTTGGGGATCCAGCGACTGTATCGTTTAAACTGGGGGGGAGGGGAGGAGCTTTGCTTTTGTAAGCGAAGGTGTTCCACCAGTCATACAACGAACAACCCAAGAAATCTTCCCTTCTTCCTCCAATCGGAGCTTCTTCGGGTTTGTTCGGAGTCCACCTGAGTCGGGCCCTGTTTTGGTCCGGAAACCGGCGCGAGGCCAGCCAGCTGAGGCGCTGGCGGAATCCTCTCGCGACTTGCGTACAAAGACCTGAACGTCGGAAGAGGGATGTGCCCAGCAAAGGCCCTTTTCCTTTAAGGGATACCGTAAAGGCCGCCTTTTGCGCGTGATGGCACCTGCACGAGTTGGAAGTGACGACCCCTCTTGTCGCTTTGGTTTCGAGGGCCAAGGGAGCACCTGACATGTCTCAACTCTCGCTGGCCCTTGTAATGTTGACCCAAAACTAATAAACCCGTCCCATTAGGGGGGTGTTCCCTCTAAAAAGGGACACCCCCCTATTAATCAACCAGGGGTTTATTAATCCGGGGTTAACATTATTTGGGCCAAGCTGCCTCCGTCCTTACACACGCTGTCCGCCGCACCGGAGTCTAGGGTTTGCGGGGGCCATGAGAAGGTGGCCCTGGCGATTTGGTCGGAGGACACGTCCTTGGAGGAGTGGCAGGCGGGGATCAAGCGGCATTTGGTCCAGGATCGTTTCCGCCTTCTCTTTGTGTGGCTCCCACCAAAAAGAAACTCCTCCAAGCTCGTCCTTCAGTGCTTTTTGCAACTGCGCGGCCGCCGAAATGAGTCTTACGTGCTCCAGGGCACCAATTGGTGAAAACAGACTTGGAACAACTAGAAGGCCTTTCTTCTGTTGTTGTTTTTTCCCATGGAACCAAAAGGAATATTCACCATCTTGAGTGATTCTCCCGGGCTAAAAAAGACGCACCCAAATCACAGGAATTCCTTGATCTCCCTTTTTGGAACCTCCAAAAGTGGCAGTCTCAATGGAAACCACCAATAAATTGATCAACGTCAGGGGAAATCCAGTGACCCCCTGAATGGTGGCAACGTCCACTTGGTGTTTCCTCCGTTAGGCGAAGTCTTTCGCAGAGTTGGCCGCGACTGGGCTGCATTGGTTCCGGTTGCTGTTGGTTGAATGCAAGGTCCAGGTCAAGTGATCCGACAAATACCAAGCCCAGAAATGTGATTTCGCTGAGCACGACTTGCCAGGTGCGACTTCCTTGAAACTCGTTGTGTTTTGAACGCGATGATGTTTCCTCACATTCTTGCTTACCATTTGGCACGCAAGAGGTGATTTGCATGGCCTACAGCGTAGCAGTGTTGTCAACGCTCGGAAACTGCAGAAGTCCTGCCAAAAAAAATAGCAACTGCTCTAGCAGGCATTCCAGTCTGCAATTGCTTGCTTGGAGTTTCGCAAATTTGCTCGAATGCAACCTTTTGCCTTGGCCACTAGCGATTGCCAGCACGGAGGGCATTGTGATTCAAGCCTTGAGGTGGTCCGGGTGAGTTGCAATCATTTAAATGGCCCAAGTAGGTCGGATGCGCAGCTTGCACTCCACAAGGAGATCGTTTCAAAGATCTTGGCGGACATGGCGACACTGAGCTCCCAATGCGATAGGCCCGGGGTGGTTGGGTCTAGCCTGCGTGCTGGGAGGAATGGGTTGCCTTGCTCGTGAACCTTCAGCTGAATCTTTGAGTTTGACCATGGCGCATGTGGGTCTTGTGGAGGGTGATTTGCTCTGAAGTGTCGCTTGGATGCTCGAGAGTGTGGCTTAGCAGTGCGGCTGTGTGGCTGAGGCCCGCCACAATGAGACAGTTAACACATGCCGTTCCAAAACTGTCATTCTGAGGAGTTTCTCAATAAACGAGTGTCACTCAAAAGCGCTGTTTGCAACAAACAGCAGGTTGTGGACAAGTCCTTGATGTGTTATCCCACCCCTCGCAACCAAAAAAAACAACAGCCAAGAAAGAGAAACGCCTTCTAGCAACCAGATCAGTGCAACTTGCCGGACCCGAGTGTCGTAGCCCAAGCTGCGCCAGGCTTTTTCTCAAGTCCTGCCACTCCGTGTCAGGCGGGTCTCGATTTGCGCCGCGAACAGAGCGCTGCAAGCAAGCAGCGTTTGGTTTTGGATGTGCAAATTCATGGCGCCTTGCAAGTCGGGCACCTCCACATGAAACATTCAATGCGCGACATTTCGCGAAATCCGTTTACAATTCCGAAGTATCTCAAAAGCCTGGTTCCAGGGCGGCAAGAGGACAAAGGCTGCGGCCGAGACTAGACCGGGGCTTGAAAAATTGGGGCGTCTCGAGCTTGCAACGGCTCGTTTTCCTTGGGCCAAAGAGAGTGCACGAAGTGTTGCAGGAGGGCGTTTGGGATTTCATTCCATATTTTCCGGGTTTCTTTACGTAGGCTGAAGACACTTACGCCAATGTTTGCTTTTCTTTGCGCAATGTGTGAGGTGACAGCTACTTGGATGTGGAGAAGCTCCATGTGCTCACGCAGCTTAGATGCAGACTGGGCCTTTGGGCCTTTTTTATATCCAGCTGCCCTGGGGATTCTTGTAACTTGCCCCGATACATCCAGAACAAGTTGCGTCCAGAAACAAGGAGCGTTTGGGCCATGTTTGGGAAACCTCGGGTTGGTCTTGGATTTGTTAGACTGTCAATGCATTCTGCCCACGATGCATTCTTTATGTGCTTTTCAAGTGGCCTGCCTTGCGCCTGCGCCCTGCGGAAAAGAATCCAGAATTTGACCATTCCAATGGGTGCGGACTCTCGACAGTGCCAGATGAGGGGTCGGGAGGGTTTGCGTGAGGCAGCTCTTGATCGATCGCTTCGGTTGCCGGTCCTCCGGAACCTTGGAGCGCATCGGGCAAGTGTATGGGGTGACTGGTCTGCATTCGAGACGGAACTGCTCGTTCTCCTGTCACACGGGGTGCAAACACCATGGTCTGCAGAGACGTGTTGTCGTCTTTGTGCTTTGTGTCGCTGCTTTCGATCAGATTGCCCATGCCACGAGACTTTCACACTTGCGTCTACAAAGGGAAGTCAAGATGGCACACTGCCCACTCCTTGTTGCCTCCCTTTTGAACAACTTGGGGAGCAGACTTCGGATGTCAGCCCACCAGCTTCGCCGAGCGGCCGGCCGCGCATTTGAGGCTGTCACCGCAGGGAGGGACGAAACAGGCAAGGCACGTGCCAGCTTTTCTGACGAGAATCGAATTGGAGACCTCCTTACGCCTGAAAGCGGCCTCCTTACTGATGAAAAGTGTAGTCCCCTGCTGTTACCCAACGAGAATAGACTCCATGAGGAAAGGATGAACCGTACAGGTGGCTCCGTGCACCTGAAGGCGAACCGGACTAGCAGAAACCCTTCGAGCTCATTTCGCGGTTCCCTGGCAACTTTTCTCTGCACTTATCGCGAGAGGAAGACGACACGGGGGAAAAGCAGCTGAGTCTCTGTTGTTCTTTGAGGGTACTCGTGTTTGGCTGTTTCTTTCTTCCCCAGATAGCCAAAAGATATAGAAATTATAACTTCTAATAAGACGCCAAATAGTTATCTGCGAGATTGACGCCCGGGTGCTGGGGGGTATGCAGTTTGCAGGTGTTGTTTGAGGTGCTGGTGACTGTGTGGGTGAAGTTTTGCGAGATTGACGTGGGGGGCGCTGGTGCAGGTGCTGTTTTTGGCTGGTGTAAGTGCAGGTACTGTCAGACGCTAGTGACGGTTTTTGCGAGATTGGCGGGGGGCTCATTTTTTGCGAGAATGACAGCTGGGCTAGGGGGCATGGGGGTGCTGCTGCAGGTGCTGCTTTGGGGTGCTGTTTGGGGCAAGAAGCCCTCGATCAAATTCTGCCCCTTTTCAAAGTGTCCTTTCAACCTGTGCCACACTTCAAGCACCCATGCTGCTCACACACAAATGGAGCAAACCAAAACACTTAAGGCTTCTGTTCTTTCAAATACACCCGAGGCAGCCTCTCAATTCTACACCCAGATGTGTCCCTGAATTTGATATGATTTGGTCCCCGAGCAGTGTGCAATCCTCAAGCTGGTTTATGCTATCTGGGGGTCTATGCTGCAATTTCAAGAGGAAAGCAGAAGGGCACCCGCTCCCCGTGTGCCCATCCGATTTCACAGGCCTCAGCAGCTTGGAGTTTCAGGGCTACACTGCAGCGGCCGGGGGGCAGAGTGTGATCAGTTGGCGCACCGAGTCCGGGTGAATGAAGCGTTTCGGGTGTCCCTCCATTCCATTTCTCGTTCCCTGCCCATCGAACCGGCAAGAAAACCGGAGACTTCAGAGTGGGTGGATGTGTCCTTTATGGCTTGGTAACGGATCTTTGAACTTTAACTTTTGGGTTGAAAAAGGCCAGACTGCCCATACCCAGATCAAGTTAAAGTCGGCTTTTAGCAGAGGGGTGGACAGCAACAAAGATCCAGCCACCTGGGGTTGAGTTGTGGCCTATGGTCGGTCCGTTGACAGCACTGGATGAAAGGATGCCTGAAAGCAACCAATGAGTGAACCATTGGGATGGTTCAAGTCGATTGGATGTGGGACCATGGATGGTGAATGCTGAACCATGGTTCAAATTGAATGCACCCTCATCAAGTGAACCATGGCAAACCAAGGATGAGTGCGCCCTTTGTCAACCCGTTCCCTCAAGAACTTCACAAGGATGCTGACAAGTTTGGAACTGATGTCGACGAAATGGGTTCAGCCAGGCCACCTTAGATTGAAACACTGCCAGTGGTTTTTCCTGGATGCGACTGAGCTAACAGCGTGTCATGTTCACCCCCTAGCCTCACTTGGCCAAAGCAAATCGAGGTGTTGATCTTTTGGCGTCCCTTTTTGTTGGTCCATTCGTGTCCCCGGTCGGTGATCTGAAGATCGGGTCCGAACTGGTAATGAGTAGCCCATCGGATTCCAGGTGCTGACTCAGCTCCTGCAAGACTTGGAGTCGCAGATCGCATCTGCCCGCCACTCAAGTGGGCAGCTTTGTTGAGATGCCCCACCCCGATGCATCACATCTAGAGGCGAGAGTGAAAGGCCAGTAAACACAAGGAGCATGCCAGGAACTCAGTGCCCAACGCTGTTGAGTCGTTCCGTTCTTGCAGTGGAGCTTTGGCAAATTGCAAGTCCCGACACGCGATTTTTTGGAGGTGTTGCAAACATGCAGGCATGCTGGCTGCAGCGTAGCTGAGTCGCGATTAATTACGTTGTGGGCAGTTTCCCGCTTTCAGCCTGTTGGTGAGTGGCCATGCCCAGTGATTTTGGAATGGCTACCACTTGCTTTCGCTCTCATGATGTCTGTTAGATTTCCTGATGAGTTGATTGGGCAAGCCAAACCTTACCAGGGGCCTTCTATTTTACCTCCTGCTTGGGGATGTCTTCGTTCGTGGGTGGTAGGCAGACCAACCTTTGTTTGAATTCCCTGCCCCCCTGCGAAGGGCGATCTTCCGGAGAGCCGCGCGGATCCACAAGGCAGGGGCGGAGAATGGGGTTGAGCCTCACTTGTTGGGGCAACTTGAGGTGAGTTGGGTGGGGTAGAATGTTTGAATGGAACTATAGAAAGCCAACCTTCAATTGGGAATATAGACCATCCTGAAACGTTCCCAACTGTTCGAGCAAAAGACGCGCTATGGCAACTCACACCTTACATGGAGGTCAGGATCCGGACTGTGCGCATGAACCTTTGGTGGTAAGCTTGCAACGCAAATGGCAGTTTGCATGTGTTGTTGCTGTATTCGACGTGGCTTACCAAATGTGTGGCCCAGGTGGTCTGATGGAGACGCTGCAAGGCGCACTTGCAAAGAGGGCTGCACTCCTAACCTCTTTCGGTGAGCGGGGCATGGAGCTAAGCAACAAGAAGGCTGAGGCTTGTCAAAACTAGCATTTGAGCTTCTGAGAGCTGACCTCCGTTTTCTTACAACTTTGAAGCCGCCCTGCAGACTGGATATCGCAACTTACTTCGGCGCTGGAGTGAGCGTCCCCAAAGATCGCGGATGTTCGCCTTCGCGGAAAAGAGGCGCTCTTGTGGGGTGGTTGGACCTAGACCTCGTGTAGCCATAGCAACCTATGGGGCAAAGCCGTGCACCGAGACTTGTGTGACGTTTGCTCGTGTTCCTCGCCTAAGGTGAGTGAGGTGCCCACTCCGCACCATGAATGAGCCATTTGAAGCCGAAGCGGTGTCACACACTGTTTGGTCAAGACGTGGGCTGCGAGGGGCGTTCCGAGTTTGCACTCGCTGCCGGTTGACTAGGGCTCAGGCTCCAGAGCTAGGGGCCGCAGTGAGCCGCCATGGCGCGAAGATGCTCGGTTGCACGTGAAAAGTAGACGCTCGGGCCACCAAGCCATGAGGACCCACATGTCAAATCCAGGCCGCTCCAAAAGCCATATTGGCCATGAGGTAGGTGGTCCCGTTTACCTTTCATGGAGGTAGTAGGTAGGACCAAACGTCAATGGGTTGTGGGCCAGGTAGTTGGTTTGGGAACCAGGGGCAGCAAACAACAATTATTGAGATATTGGTGCACATCATTCCACATGTAAACCTGCCCCAATGTTTGGCTAGTGAAACGTGAAAGGTACATGGACAAGTCCCGTTTGGTCAGAGCTGATGGAATTCATTTGCCAACCCACAAGTTCACAGAAGGACCTATCCCTTTTCAGTTTCCCCTGCCCCCCAACCGGCACAAAGCCACATCCCAAGAGAAGTCCCGCCGCCTCTGGACGTCCTTTTGTTTTGCAAGGGCGAGCAGCCGGTGTGGCGCTTTTGGCCTTCTGTGTCATGAGCGATTGGCCAAGGAGTGCCTGTGACCTCGTTCGAGCAATCCGTAGACTTCTGTGCAAAGGGAATGCCACGGGCAGAGGGGTTTACTCAAATCCAATGTCACCTGAAAAAAACAAGAGCGCGATTCATAGTGCACGTGCCTCATTGAGAGGCCCCCAGCTGACAATGCCCTCCTTGAGTTCCGGGATGGTGGGGGAGTGGGCTCATTGGATCCACTTAAAACTGGCACGCGGGATGCACCCCAACAAAGGGCATCTAAAGATCAGGGTTGCTCCGCGCCGCAAACAGACGATCAAATCGAAAGGGTCGTAATTGATGGGCGCAACCTGTCCCTTGCTCTCAAATCAGCGGATCTTTTCGCCACTCGGGTTTGTGTTGTCATTGTTTGCCATTGGTCAAAAGGGGCCAGAAGGGTGTTGACAGATCTGAGTTGAGCGAAGCTGCGAGCCGGGCTGGGGGTGGGATGTCCCCATCTTCCGGTGAGCTGTTGCTTGAGCATGTTGCGGATGGAAGTGCAGCTTCCATTGTTTGTTGCAGATGGAAGTAGTAGCAAAACCCAAGGGTCATAGCGCACTTTCCGATAGAGAAGACGCTGCATAAAGACTTGCGGCTAGTCGAGCCACGCGACAGGGCTTGGATTTTTCCGAGCGAAATTGTCTTTTATCGGTCCATTTACCCGGTAACCAAGAACATTGCAAAACCAACCAATCGCTGGCTTCCATACAGGAGGGGTATTTCTTTTGGGAGTACCCCTTCCTGCCAGATGTCCCTTTTTGGAGCCCACCGGGAAACCGGAACCGAACTTCATTTTGGGGGGGGGGGGGGGTCCAACCTGAAGAAGAAGACATCCACGGGACCCATCGGAATGCTCATAGCTCCGGCAGGCCTGGCTTCGTCCAAAGCTCCCGCAGCCAAAGCCGGAGCCCCGGCGGCGCCGCCCGCCGGGCGGTTGGCCTGGAATTCTTACGGGAGCCCCTGGAGGCAACGTGACATGGAAAGCCGGGAAGTCGAGGGATCATGAGGTCCAGGGGAATTTAGGTATGCCCCGTTCTTTTTGGTTGGGGTAGAGTTTTCCTTTTTGGCTTGCCTTCAGTTTAAGCTGGGCACTCCCCACCCGCACCTGAAGTTCAAGACATGGTCTCAGACCTTCGGTTCACTCTGCTCTTTGTGTCAACAGCTGACGGGAAATCGGCGATTGGGAGAGTGGGGAAGTGAGTTGGAGACTGCAAGCCGCAAGTATGCTGCAGCCATGGCCGTGGCTTCTGCAAAGTACCCACTCACAGCTCATCAGAACATCAGGATCCGCAAAGCCTGAAGACACGTGTCCCATTTGAGGCCTGCTTCATGTTTGGTGGGGTACGCTGCAAGGCGCTTCATGTGGCACGGAATTGGGTTGTGTTTATTTGGTTGGATTGTTGGACTTTAACTTTTCGGGAATCTGTTTCGTTGGACCCACAGCAAGTGAAAAACTTCGTGCAGGGGGGCCGTTACAGCAACCAAACACTGAGCAGCTCCTTGGAATCGGGCGGAAGTGAGTCGCACCGGAAATTCCTCGTGACCGGCGGACATCCCAAGTGGAGCATGGCCGGGGTGTTGGAGTTGACGTGAAAACACCGCCATCCAAGCCTTTCGGGCAGGCAGCTTGAAATCCATGGCCCAATTCGGCGGGAGACCCCTGGTGGTTCCCAGCCATTCGGTTCCTGTGGCTTTTGGCTTTTTCGCTGGTGGCTAAATGTTCGTTCAACCTGCTAACAGCCCGAGGACCTGCGGACAGCCCAGTTGTGGGAAGAAGAGGACAAAAAGACCGCATGGTTTTCCCGCAGCTTTGTCGTACCGCGCTCAGCTCATCCGCGTAGCAACGAATTGTTTTGGTTTTCTTTGGTCTTGTCTCCTAGGAACCTTAAACATGGGTGTCCTTCTTCGAACCCCCCAATAACAGGGCCAACCCAAGAATGGGCCGGGAGCAATCAAAAAGCTGTACACTGCCAGGCCTATGCCGCGGCTCGGGTGGCAGATTCCCCCTTCCTGGCGGAGGAGCGGGTGCACCAATGGGCAGAGGGCCGTTTGTTTAAACAACCTTTCTCAGTTGGATGTGGGTCAAAACCAGTGGTACCATTTGGGGTAGGTGCACCACCCAGTTTAGTCTATTTTAACGGGGATTGAAGTTTCGGGATTTTGACCCACGGCCAGTTTCTCTCACTCCCTGTCCCTTCCATGTGCTCGCACTGACGGGGCTGGATATGCATTTGTCCTGCATATGTTTTTTGCGCCTGCTGGTTCATGGACTTTTGCCACTTTTTGCCAAGACCATCTTGGTGCGAAACACAACGATTTCAGACTTTTTTGGTCCATCAACTCAGGAAGTTGGTTTTGAGTCAGATGGACCGGCCTTGTGAGAGTTTATCATTGGACTCCCGAAAGGGGTAGCTCAAGGGAAACGAAAAAACCTGGGGCCTACTTTGAGAAGCCCCCGTTGTGGCAAAGCACGGACGCCTTCGGCTTGCGTTGGTGGGAAGATGATTGATTGCAAGTGTTTGAGTCCAAGTCGTTTCTGGGCGGTACATCTCTACCTTGCCTGCGTTGAGATCCACTGAGCTCCCCAAGCCTTGAGGAAGCAAGCCGCCGCCAGTTGTAGCACCGCTTTGGCCGTTTCAACGGATCAGTCACGAAACGCGCCGTACTGCTAGCAAGCAGCTACCCTGAACTCGCATTGCACCCTTGGGACGCGACTGAGACTTTGTTTGCTGAGGTATTTCTTCCCACTGTCGAAATGCATTTCGCACCCTGCAAATGCCAACCAACCATGGTTTCAAACATGGTTTCATGTCCTGGTGCGAACGGTTTTCGCAACCATCCATGGTACCATCGCTATGCCCTTTGGCATGTTGCTGCAAAAAAGTATGCGCACTGAACTGCGAAGGCTGCGCGCATGCGAAGCGCTCCGGGAGCTTCTATTTTGTTCTTTGGTTTTCCGGTTGCTTGGAAACTGTCATTTTTGGTTTCTGGTAAAAAGACCTTCTTTTGCCGTTTGACTTATTTTTGAAAGCCAGCCAATCTCGAATGATGTTTCTCAGTCTGTCATTGCTTTTGCACTACCCATGGGCATAAACTTGGACGGTGACATTTGGCCTGGCCTGTTGGGGAGATAACGCGAGGCTTTACTTGCACAGGTCATAGCAGGACATGGGTGTGCCCTTTTTAAACCGCCAGTTTTTTTTGGGGGGTTGTATGGGTGTCATGAGGAAAGGTGTCAAATCCCTGAACCAAGCTTTCAGGGCTCCCCATCGAGTGGGCCGAGATGTGTTGTCAGGTTCTTGCCTTCTCGCACATGCCCCTTTAACCATGGCCCCAATACTCCAAGGAATAGAGTGCAAGCAACAGAAGCAGCATATTTAGAGGGAACCTCCTTTTTGGGTGCCATGTCTCGTTTCTGCTTGCAGGGAGTATGCTCAACCTGGTGTCTTCTCAACTTCTTCATCTCCAGCAAAGCCCAGTTTAGATGGCCTCGATGTTCGAGAGTTTAGATGGGGACTTGCCGTCCTGTAGGGCCTGCCTTTCGGAACTGGGGGTGAAGAAGGGCTGCGCGAGAGGCTCCGGAGGCGGCGCTGCACTGGGGCCATGCTGCCGCCATGGCGTCTTGGAAAGGAAATTTGGCTGGGTGGCTTGTGGGGCCCAGTGGGACCTCCCGAATGAAACACTATCGAAATATGTACATATATAGGTATATATATATATATACATGTTTATATATTTACATGCATATACGCATATGTCTAAATATATATATATATATATAGAAATATACATGCATATTCATATATGTGCATATATATATATATAGGCACAAGCAAGCGGTTGTGTTCTCGCGCGTACCTGAAACACGCGCTTTCACCCACAGAGCCGGTCATTGGTTGTTGATGGCTGTTATTGGTTGCAGGGTGTTTCCTTGGTCGATGCGACCTGCTGTCCGATCCCAGGCATCCGTGTACCCACAACTGCTCTTTGGCGCCTTCCTGGGATGGCAGATCCGCACGGGCAAAGGGGAGGCCAGCGTGTGGGGGAGAGGGTAGCGAGGGTTCTTGGCCAGGTTTCAGGTACCAAGAGAAGGCATGTCGTGCCTTCTGACAGTGGTCTAGGATATCGCCATGCCTGGCGATGCGCCTGCATTGTGATGGTGAGTTCTCCATATGAGCCATGGCCCTTACTACCAGGTGGATGACCATCACAGGGCCTTTCGACCATGACGCATATGTTTCCTGCGCGTTGCTTTTCTCGGCGATGCTTGGCAACAGCAAGGTGCTGGCCTTCAGAAAGCGATCTAGTCTGAGTCACTGACAGAACCCACGCGTCCCCTTGATAAGCCACCTGAGCCAACCTGCGCGCTCCCTTAGACACAGGCCATCCAGAACTTTTGGGGAAGCTGGGTGTCCAGAAGCGATACGTCTCAGCGGCTTGCAGAGTTTTCGCACACAGAACTTACCCACCATCACCCACGATCACACACACAACTGTGCCCTGCATTTGCCCTGTGAGCTGCTTCATCGTTTGACTCCATGTCGGGTCAGTTGTGCGCAGCAGTCCCTGGCTGAAATGCTGGGTCAGCCGGTCATGCTCTGAGAGGTTTCGTGTTGGCACATCACAAGGAATCATTCCATGATATTTCATGCACTCCCCCTGTTTTCTCTCCAACGGCATATTGCTTCCAAGTGATGCGCCAGGAGACCACGCCACTGTCCCTGGGACTTTCTTCCAAGACGCTGCATCCACTGCTGAGCCTCGGTGCTTTTCTCTTCTTCCTGATCGGAGGAGATGCGGATGGGCCATGGGTCTTTGGGTCGTAGGAGTACCGTTCACGCGCAGAAGTTCACACGTCCCGGGTTGGAGGACGATTTAGCTCCTGCAACGGAGTTTGTGCACTTCCATGTTTGTTGGTCTGTTGAGGCATTGGCTGAAACCGAGGTGCCCCTTACGAAGCCAAATGACGCCTTCGACCAGATGCCCATGGTCGCAGGGTTATATAGGTACCCCTGCGCGGTAGACTTGCCCATTTTCTTGACGAGCCAGTTTCCTGCCAGAAGCAAAATGTTCCACCACTAGGAAGCAATTATACCTGCGACTGATGAATGTGTGGAGGGGCCGAGGCTGAAGGCATAGGAGGTAGTGTATTCCCATTTTAGTTGCCTGTTGAAGTGATCCAAGGTAGCGCTGGCCGGGCCGGGCCGGTTCCCAATTTAAGACTCCCGGTGTGTATTTCTGGGCGATTTACAGGTAGAAGCTTCCATTCGCAGAGCTCATGGAAATCCCAAGATCGAAGACTCACCTGGGCCAAAGGGCGGTTTTTTTTTACTGCCTCCCAGTATTGAGCGTCCCTGCCTGGATCGCTTCAGAAATTCGCGAGAAAGGTGCAAGGTGTGCAAAGAGCTCAGATGAACATGGAACTCAACAAGGGGTGCCCAACAGTCTCCGCGAGGACAAGGTGGCTTGGTGCTGCTCACTGTCGCGGGCTGAGAGGTTTTGCAAAGGCGAACCCCGAACAGCCCCAGGAAGCTTAGCTAAGCAGCCACTGTTCTTAGTTCCGGGAGTGACCAGCGGTGGCAATGCCGTTTGGTACTTCAAGCGACTCGAGATGGAGACCATGTGCGTGTTTTTCACCGTGTTCTTGGTGGACACGCCTACCGCGAAATCCATCCACAATTGTCATGCCTCCCACCTTCTCTCAGCCTTTCCAGGCGCAGAAGCAGACGATTCTGGACTCCCCACATGCTGTGACAGCACTGCTCGGCATCTCGGGCTGCAACGACTCAGTCCGTTGTAGGCTCTTGAACAAAAGTCCTGTTTTAAAGCTGGCCATGTTGGCAAGAGCTGATCTAATCCTCATTTTTTCGCGCTTCCTGGGAGGGGAGGGTCAGCGCAACACGCACATGCCGGGTTGCGACTTGAAAATTGTTTTGGACGGGTGCTCGAAGTGCGGAAAGCGGTAAGGACTGTCGCTTCTGGCGGTGCAAGCAGCGCTCCCCCTCTTCTTTCAGAGCCGAGAGCTCCGATCAGTGCACGCCTTCCTAGGCAAGATGGGGGGCTTGGGGAGGTTTGGGTTTGGTATGGTGTGCGGTGGTTGGTGAGTGTTGAAGTAAGTCCACCCAGCTCAAATAAGGCTCACTTCCCAATCCAACCAGTGTGAGTGGCTGTGTGGGTGGGTGAGTGGGTGGTTGTGCTTGCGTGTACCTGCGTGCGAAAGTGCGTGCGTGTGCGTGCTTGCACGTGCGTGCTTGTGTGTGTGTGTGAGTGGCTTTGTGCACAATGCCTGATGCCTGACCTGATGCCTGATGTCTGACGCTTGTCTGATGTTTGCTGTTTTCTGTGTGCTGTTTGCCGTGTCTGTGTTTGTCTCTGGTGTGTCTGGTGTGTCTGGTGTGTCTGGTGTGTCTGGTGTGTCTGGTGTGTCTGGTGTGTCTGGTGTGTCTGGTGTGTCTGGTGTGTCCCTGCGTCTGCTTCTCTCTCTGCGTCTCTCTCTCTCTCTCTCTCTCTCTGTCTCGTTAAAATCGGTGGTTACTTTGCTTACAAGTGCAAGTGCTGTAGTGTTCAAACAAACAGTCAACCAATGTAGTCTGCAGCTGCCAACCTTTTGACTCATGCGGAGTAGTAAGCTCAAGGCCTGCGGTAGTGAACATACATGCAACAAGAGTGCAAAGTGAAGCATGTAGTTTGACACGGCCCCTCAGTTAAAAGGTCTTTGTAGTACCTTTTCAACTGAAGTGCAAAACATGGATTGACAGTAGTGATGAAAACCATTGTTGTTCATCAATTCTACTGTATTGGCAAAAGTAGTGACCTGCGCTCAGTAGTTCACGCTGTTCAGGTTCCAGCTCGATGTAGGGCGCTGGACGGAAGTAGTGAAGGCAGGCACTCGTTGTAGTAGAGCAGGAGCTCAAAAATGTAGTCCCCATTTCTGGGTGCGGTAGGCTTGGACCATCTGTAGTCGACTGTCCAAGGTCGCGTAGTAGTTGGTGGTGAAAAAGGTTGTCATGTAGTTTGGAGCTCCCCGTAGTCGCTCATCATCAATCTCGGGACACGACATGTGTTGGTCGTAGTCCCGTAGAAAGCGGTGTAGTAGTGCTTTGTGGTGTTGTGTGAGGTTGGTCATTGTGAGTAGTGTGAATCCGTAGTATTGGATGCTTTTGCAGAGGATTGTAGTGATTGCTTTGTGCTGGAAGTCGTGTAGTTGGTCTCGGTTGTAAAGGTAATGGAGTAGTTCAGGTAGAAGTAGTGGCATGTGGTAATTCCAAACGTAGTTGTTCCTGAGGCTGTAGTTGTCAGTGAAGGTGGTCATGTTGTAGTTCACCTTGAAGATGGTCTGTGGCAGTGTTGTAGTCGGGAGGTAGTAGTTGTGTTGTACCGACATCATGTAGGAGATGTAGTCCCTTGTGAAGTGTAGAAATTGTCCTGAAGTGAGGTACCTCAGGAGTAGTGGTTGTTCAATCTGGAGTTGGATGATGACGTAGTTGGTGTTGTCGCCAGTTGTAGTGTGGAGTGAAGTCGTGTGGTAGTAGTGGACGTTGGCTGCTTCAGGTAGTGAAATGCTGAGCAGTGTGGAATTGTAGTGTGGCATCCGAAGATCTCCAGGGATGCAGTGAATGGGTCGTGTGTAGTCCAGTTGTGCCAGTGGAGTAGCTTGTTGTTGTGAGAGTAGTTGATACTCTTCAAGTGTAAATGCAGTGAAAAATTGAGTGTAGGGAATGTTGTCGGGCAGTGGTGGTGCAGTGGTTTGTCTGGTGCTCAGTGATGTGTAGTTGGTCCATCACTGTGGTCGGGTTGTAGTAGACGGTGTTGCCGGGTGTAGAATGGTTGAAGTGGTAGTTGGAGTCGTTGTAGGTTTGAGGTGGTGGAGTTCCATGGTCACTAGAGTCTGTAGTGACCGCCACCTCAGGTGTAGTCGCCCTGTCGGGCGTAGTGGCGCCTCCCATCGTAGCATCTGCAGTAGATGGAGCGGCCATGGCTGCAGTGGAATGCAAAATGTAGTGAAACGGGGCAAAACAAATGAGCCTAAGTAGTTGCTACCAGGCAGTCGGCGAACGCAGACATGTAAAACAAACAACTGTAGTGTTGACTCAAGCCGCCAAAAGTGCAAGTGAAAGTACATGTAGTTACTGTTACTTACATACCAAAAGTGTCGTGTTACATGTAGCTACTTACATACATGAAATGTCCAAAGTCGTTGTTGTTGTTGTTGTGAAACTGCTGTGCTGGTCGTTTGTAGTGCTAGATGCGTATTCCAATGCTCTGGATGAGCCTGTGTAGTGTTTCTTTGCTGATGTATTTGGTAAACAAATCTGCGCTGTTGTGGAGTGTGTTGATCTTAAGGATTCTGATGATGTCGTGCTTGATGAGGTCTTGTGTGTAGAGGAATTTGAGGTCGATGTGTTTTGCTCGTTTGCTAGTGCCTTGTCGTGTAGCAATGCTCTTGCCTGCTGTGGAGTCTGTGTGGATGCGTAGGTTTAGCTTGCTGCAAATGTTGGTTTCAAGTAGGAAGTTTCTGAGGTGTAGTCCCTCATTAACTCCTGTGCAAATGGCGTAGAGTTCAGACTCTGCTGAGCTAAGTGCTATTGTAGCTTGTGTTCTGCTGCCAAATGCAACTGTTGTTCCTAGAAAGATGATGTTGAAACCTGAAGTTGATTTCCTGGTAGTAGGGCATCCTGCCCAGTCGGCATCGACATGAACGTCGAGATCCAGGATGTTGTTGGTGTTTGCTCTGAGTGTTGTTGTTGGTTCTATGGTGAATTTGTAGTGCTTGGTGCCGTGCAAGTAGCGTAGTAGATGTTTGACTCTCTTTTGTCAAAGTTCTGTAGGTGCTGCGAGGTCTCTTGCTAGTTCTTTTGTGGAGTATGCGATGTCTGGTCGTGTGTATGCTAACCATTGAAGTTTGCCAGCAATTCTTCTGTACCTTTTGTGTTGTTCGTGGTCAAGTAGTGCTTCATCTTCTATTGTTGGTTTGTAGTGTGCAATTCCTGGAGTGTTTGCTGAGTTGCAGTTGTTCATTCCAGACTCCTCGATCATGTTGTCGATGTAGGAGTCCTTTAGTCCAAGATTGCAGTAGTTGCCGAAGTGGTCGATGTTTCTTCCAAGAAATTGTTGTGGTTTGCCAGGTTCGAGGTAGCCGATGTGCTTGAGTAGTACCTGCTTCTGGACGGCCTCGAAAGTGGAGTCGACTGCGGTCTTGTCTCCAAGTACTAGTAGATCGTCCACGTAGACCATGATGTAGCAGTCGCGAGTCGCATTGGTGTAGACGTTGGGTTCTGACTTTAGTCTTACAAAGCTGAGCTTTTGTAGAACTTCAGCCAGGTAGTCCTGCCATGCTTTCGGTGAACTGCGTAGTCCATACATGGCTTTCTTTAGTCGCCAGATTTTGTCCTGTTGTGGACAAAGTTCTTTAGGTGGCCAAAGGTAGACGTCACGTTGTTTACCGTCGTGGTCTTTTGCGATGGGTGCGTGTAGAAATGCTGTAGAGACGTCACCTAGTCGCGCGATCCAGTTTGGTCGTGACATTTGTAGTGCGAGAAGTGTCCGGAGTGTCGTGAACATTGGTGTAGAGGCGTAGACGGAGTCTTCGTCCTCGATCTTCTCGGTGTAGCCTTTTGCGACGATTCGGCTTCGTACTCCTGGTCCTTTCTTTCTGTGTACCCATCTTGTAGGTATCGCTTCTCTGATGACGTTGTCGTTGACGGTAGACGCATCTACTTCGTCGTAGACGTCGTGTAGTTTCATTTGGTTTGACTCGTGTTTCATTCCTTCCAGTAGTTGTGTTTCGTCGTAACCTTCGTTGTCGAAGATTATGGGTTGGTCTTCTGAGGTGTCGTCGTTTGTGTAGGGAGTGATGGATTTTCCGTTGGGAAGTGTCACTGCGTTGATTTTCTGTCGTAGTGGTGGTGGTTCTTTGGTTGCTTGCTCCGTTGATCTGATTGTAGTGTCCTTTGAGGTCTTCTGTGCTTTAGTTGGTTGCATTACTTCTTCCGGAGTTAAACGTCGTAGTGTTTGTCGAGGTGGTGCTGGTAGTGGTGGATGTTGTCGTCCAGTTGGTGAAGTAGCCATAGGACTATCCGGTAGTGGTCGTGAACTTGACGTCGATGTGGACGGAAGTCGTGGAGGTGGTGTAGTGCGTTGTTGTTTTGTTGCGGGTTCTGCAACGATGTCGTCCGTCGCATTCGTTTGTTGTCCGAAGTCTTGCGTGGACCTTCTTTTCTCTGACGGTTGTAGTTGCGTATCCAACAGTGTTGCGAACGATGGGTTGTAGGTGTTCCGTCGTGGTGCCCATGGTGTGCCGTGCCCATGGTGTGCCGGAGACTTTGTTCAACAGTGCGAGGTCGTATTTGAAGTCCGGTTGTAGTCTCCGTACTGTTCGTACCTTTTGTACGCCTGATTCCGTTGCGACGTAGTTTTCTCCGGTTTCGGAAACTTTTCCGAGCCAGATGCATTCTTGCATCCGTAGGTCTGCTTTCGGAAGTTTCTTGTGTTGTGGTGGAAGAAAAGGTAGAGACGTGAAGCTGCGCCAAAAAAATTCGCATATTGCTTACGCAATCGTAAAGTTTCTTATCCCACGCGATTCCAAACAATGTGTAAGCCGTCAGAGTGGACTTGACGTAAGCGATTTAACCGCGTCCATGCAGCTGCATGTCGTACTATCCAAGGTTAAACAAACAAAGTGCTTAATTGCGGTACATATCGTTCAACTGCTGGTAAGTTGCTTTCAACTTAGAGCTTTGACGACGCGGATTTGTCCGAGAAGTGTTCTATGTAGTCGCTCAACGCTTCCTTGACTGTTGCTGCTGTAGGAAGGTGAATGTCGTACACTCATTGTGCCGACTTTTGCTGCTGTAGCTTTTAGAAGTGCGTTGAGTGTGTCCTCGTTGTCGCTTTGTAGTATGCCTTGTGTTCTTCCGCACTCAAAGATGAATGCTTGTAGGTTGTTGACCATGTAGTCCATCATTGATGCTTTGTCTGGAACCAATACTGCCATACACAGTTGTGTAGTAACATCAACTGCTGTCAGTACCGGTGTGGTCTTTGGGTCT